ATTGAAAATCAAGATCATATCACTTTTCTCTCTGCCCAATGTAATCAGCCTAAAAGCACATTTATAATGTGCTTTTCTGCTATTGGGGAAATGTCAGTTTGGGTGGTTCACCAAGATTAAGATGCCCAGCTTTCATCAGAGAAATGGGCCCCTCCACAGCAAATCACATTGTGTTCTCACTCAAATTCAATCAGCCGAATTGTCTCTGAACTTTTTCAACTCCTCAACTTTTCTGCCCCCCGGAGTAATCTCATTCTCATTCATATTGAGTTATAAGCCCGAGGCGAGGGCAAGTATTAAAGCCTAAAATCAACCCAATTTACCTAGGCAACACTCGCTCACACTACCCTCGAAAAATCCTTGATGCTCTCAGACACGGACTATATGCCGAAGAAGACTCGATTAGGGTCGCGCCGTCTTCCCTACCCATAGCTGATTTTCTTCCTCGTTCTCTGGTCTATAATCCAAAAAGCGGTCTTTCAGGTGAAGTTAGCCCCTCGCTGTGGCTGTGTGGGGAGGCATAAGCCAGTTTGCCACACTGGATTACAGAGCGACAAGCGTTGAAGCTCAGCATGGCTGAAGCGCTACAGCGTGATATACCAGCTACTGTCTGCCATCAGTCTGTAATACTGTTGTGTTTTTTTTTTAGTCCTCTCAGAAACCACTCTGTTTACTTTGTATTCAGAAAAAGGACAGAGGAGCTTAAGAGGTTCGAAAATTAACACATGCAAAGCGTCAACCCGACCAGAACTACATTTGAGGTTTTGAATGTGTTGATTGCCTTTGAATAGATGCCTCCCCCACACACAGCCTCTAAAGCACCCTGATGTGATGCGACTATTTTCTCTCATAAGCCTCATTGGTACACTGATGATGCAAATGACAGGACCACACTGTACTCTCTTCACTAGTACTGCATGATGAAGCAGAGGCAGCAATTAGGCATAGCTGTCTTTTTTTGCCAAAAAAAAGGGGCTTTTCATTAGCTTCACATTGATGATTCTTGAATAACCATCTGGCCACGGGAAGAGGGATTGTTAAAATAAAAAAGAATTATTTTCTGTAGTAAGATTAATCTAAACTATATCGAATATCAAAGCGTAATCAAAGATTTTATAACCCCTCACAAAGACAAAGACTCTTAGCCAGCATTTATACAGTGTGCAAAAAAGCCCTAGTGTATTCTTCACCCGGCTGTGCAGGCCACAGTGTTTTAACAGCCATGTTGAGTCCACAGACACTGCATCCTCTTGACATGAACTTCTGAACATTTCAGGACTCTTGGCTTGTTGGTCAAGCGTCTGGAGAGAGGAGGGAAGGCCGAGCAGCAGGGCCTCTTCCAGGAGAACGACTGTATCGTCCGTATCAATAACGGAGACCTGCGAAACATCAGATTTGAACAGTAAGACTGCAGCTCACGGGAGCCGTTGTTGAGCTCTGGTGGTCCCTGGTCTTCCTGTGTGAATGGCTTTTTCGCACCATCGCCTCTTCCCCAGCTTTTTATACCCATAGTCTGAAACATTCTTCTTCTTTTTTTGGCTGCTCTCCTCTCTCCTCATGCCTATTTTACTCCCTCTCCTGCCGGCGCACAGTCTCCTCTGCTGCCTGTCACTGTGCTAAGCTAACCTTTCCCTACTTAACTCCTGTAGGTCAGCCTCAATTCCTCAAGTCGTCCCTGCAATCCTCTTAGCCTTTATTCCCTTGTGTTTCAGTAACAGTAACAGCTCCACTGGACTCCTACTCTCGCTACTTTCTCTTTTCTTCTGTCAGAAGGAATGGGAATAAATCTCCTGAAATTCACAGCTTCTCCTTTTTCAGTGCTGTTCATGTCTCCTGCTTTTATTCCCTGCCTAACCAAACTCACACATCCACTCATTTTCTAGATCCCGTACGATGCATGCGAACCCATATGCTGTGTATACAGTACATGCAGTATCAGCAATGCAGCGATGCTTTTTTGTTTGCTATGTTCTTTTGCCAGCATTACATTTATACAAAGTATATGCACGTTTTAAATGCAATAAGCTGCTCCAAACTGATGAACATTATGTAGGACACCTATTATGCATAGATGCATCTTGGTGGATTTCACCGTTCCTCGAAACGTAAAGAGTCAAATATATATTTCCCCATTTAACAAACTAATTAAATCAGAATCTAGTCACACAGATTATATTGGTTGGTTTCTGATAAGTTCAGGCTTTGAGACTTTTGCTACCACCTCATTATAATGGAGATTAATGGGATTTTACTTTAGTATTATCTCTTACATGACACAGAATTCTTGTGTTGATAATACCAGGAATGTGCTGTCAGATCTGTTTACTGGGTAGAAATTGAGCAGTTGCAGCAAAAGTATGAGTGGAGGTATATAAGAATAATTTGGGTGAACCAACCAACTTCTGGATCCCAGTCATGTTGTCATGTTCCAGCCATTCCCACAGTTGGAGCCACAAGTTATGTGATGGGTGGGAATAAAGCTTCCATACATAGTGTTGCGACAAGTGCAACAGTTGCTCTTGTTATTTATTTTCATAAGGGGGCAGACTACATCTCCTCTGACACTTGATCCAGCTTGAAATTGTAAAGACACCGTGACGAGACCATCCCCCTGAGGGAAGGTTGTTGGTAGCTGGGAAAAGAGGCCCGGAATTTCACAAAGAAATTCTTCAGCAGCGCGACTTTTGGTTATCGGTCTGGGGGTGGAGGGGGAGCAATAGAAATTCTCGCGGCCTAGCATTTTCTCAAACGTCTGTTCAGCTGTCAGGGGACCCACGTTTGCTTTATTGAAACAGGTGGCGCTAACAAGGCTTTGGTTTTACAGGGCGCTGACAGCCAACATAGGTTTCCATTCACACCTAATGTACACGAGCTCAGACCGAAGGGGTCTTAAAAGAGGATTTTCTGCAAAGTATTCGACGATTGGAGGTCTCCTTCATCTGGAGCCAAATGAGGGGATTATGCGATGGAGCTGTTGGGGAGGGTTCAGTCACTTTCTAGAGCCGCTCACGCTGGCAATGAGTATTAATTAACATGTCAGAATGTTCAGGTGGGCGAAGATGGATTTTATATATAGTTCGAATGGGTGTGTGTGTTTGAGCGACACTGGGTAGATGGAGTGCTCCACTTGGCAAGTTTGTCCAGACAAGTATTGCACTTGATTGTTAAGTATGTTGAGTTTTTCCTGTGTTTATCCTTTGTTCTCTCCATGTCCTTTAACCATCGTAAAACTCGTAAATTTCCTCCCACTGTCTTTATCCCAGAGCCCAGAATATGTTCCGTCAAGCCATGCGCTCTCCGGTCATCATGTTCCACGTGGTGCCGTCATCGATGAAGGCCCACTACGAGCAGCTGTCCCACGCCGAGAGGAACCCCGTGTACGCCTCGGGCCGTTTCAGCCCAGACTCCCTCAGCGGCAGCACTGTGTCAGGCATCGACCACACGCCACAGCGGATGTCCCGGCACGGTTCCCAAACGCACCCACACTCCCATCCGTACCCCCATGTGCTCTCAGAGCCGACTGACGGTTACCCCCCTCTGCTTCACCCCGCGGTTTCCGCCGCCAAGCCCCCGACAGGTCACGCCCACTCACCGCAGAAGGGGATGAATTCCACGCCAGCAGGAGGCTATACGAAAAAAGTCGGGAGGAGGCTCAGCATTCAGCTAAAGAAAGGTGAGGAGAGGTCTCCACAAAAACGCACAAACTCTGCTTTAGTGTTGGTTTCAACTCAAAGATAATAGATCATAAACCATGACTAGTCTCATAAGCTTATTATTAACATTAATTATGTCTTAGAATGTCATGAGGTTAAGTTTTTCATTGTTAAGTAAATATTAACACATGATCCACAAAAACATTTGGAGCTTTCATCATCAGAAAAGATCTTTATTGTTTCTGAGGAAGAAAAAAGCAAAGCCATCCTAGCCGCTGTGTTGGGTTTGGTTTGTTGTTGTTTTTGAAGCATACTGAGACTCTTTCCAGAGGATCTGTGAGTCTCTTCTCGTGCTGTGCATTTCTCTGGCTTTTTAAGATTTAGAGGAATACACAGCATCAGTCTAACCTTTTTATTTCTACCCAATAAACAAGCAGCTTCTTGATTCCTTGCAAACAAGTGTAGGAACACAGTTGGAAGATGGTTCAAGCACATATGTGAACGAGGATGTAAGAGGCTTAAAAACCCCATCCAGAGCTATCCGTACTGATGTAAGATGTGAAAAAGTGGGTGATAAAAGCAAACAGCATCTGCTTAGATGGAAATGTGGAGCAACAGGCGACGTTAGGACTGCAAAGCTGCAGGGATCCTGGTGTACGCTTTGACTGACAGTGGACACAGGTGGTGCAAACCTCTGCCAACAGGATTCCAGGTGTCGGTGCCAGGTCTCAGGGCCAGAGAGCTTGTTGCTAAGCAGCCGCTCGTCCCCGTGCGCTGTCAAATGCCACAGCTAAGAGTCTGACAGGGCCGCACCATATGCCCGTTGAAGTTTTCACCCAAACCTGTCCTCTCTCGTGGGGCGGGAATCAAGCCAGAACATAAAACATAACAACGTCCAGCTGCTTTTTAAAAATTCCTGACTCACAGTTCTTACCATCCATTCTTCTGTCAGGTTTTTTTCACTCTTCTCATCCTCATCTGCCCTCTCGCTGACAAAACACTTGTGAAAACACTGCATTCTGTGCATGATATGGCAGGAGATCTGTTATGTTCACAGTCAAAGATGTTATCTTTTCTCATTCCACCTTTGTTTGCTGTTGTTGGAGCAGACACTTACATGGATTAACAGTGATTCCCAAGAGGCTGTTTGGCTCATCTGTTTTGTTTTGAGTACCGACTTAAGCCTACAGCTTTGAGCGCAGATTAAGCTCCTGCATTTCTTATGTGCTTGAATCAGACACCAGGCTCCTTGCAAATCCCAGGGAGTATCAAAATCAATCACAGAATCTTATTTCTGCACAGGAAATTGCTTAGGTATGTCTTAATCAAGCTAATGGGAGTTTTAAAGATCCTCCTCCCTGTTTAAAGCCAGGAACTCTACAAGCATTTACCGGTGAGTTTAATGCCGCACCTCGAATGCCTGCGGGAAGTTGATTGGCTCATCAATGCAGGGGATTAGGTAGAGGATGTGAAACAGGATGGCTAAGTGTTGTGCTG